TTAGTTATTATATAATATTTAATTGTATAAAAAAAGTAATTTTTTTTAAATATTTTTGTCAACTCCACCGTATTTTTAGAATTGTCGAATTTGATTTATCATTATAGATTTTTTTTGTCAATATATATTGCTTTGTATATTATTTATAATGATAGAAAAAAATGTTAAAAAAAAAACATTTCAAAAAAGATATTGATGACTTTTTTTAGAATTCTTATGTGCAATTAAATTATTTGTAAATTTTTTTTTTAATAAAAACTTTATAAAGTTTTTATTTTTACAGTAGCATAATAAATTAAAATAATTTTAATTCAACTTCATACTTAGTTATACCATTATTAATACTACACTATTCTTTTTCATATAAATAACATAAATTATATAAATAATATAACCTTTCATAATTAATAATTACAATTTTTTAAACAGAATTAATCGTAATAACAAAATAATAAATTTATGTACAAATATAGAATTTATAATTTATTCGATAATAATTTTTCATAATTACATTGATATTACATATTGATATTACATATTACATGATTGATATTCAAGCTATAATAAATTAAAAATTTTCTATAAATTAGTTTAAATTAATAAATTAGTTAAGATTCAAATAATTGTAGATTTCTAGAAATATATCGAGAACTAAAAAATCATTTATTTTTAATGAAATAATAAATTTTATAATAAAAAAAGAAATGTTAATAAACAATATCAATAATCAAATTGGTGGTATTAGTTTAAATACTTTGTCTAATCTCGTTTCATTTCATATTCTCAAATTATTTTTTTATTTCGTATTTAAGGTTATGTAATAAAAGATAATATACAAAATCATTAGATTTCATTTTGATTTCAATTATTACATCATATTAATAAAAATATTTAATCTCTTCAAAATAAAATATCAATCCTTGAAATTCTAACATTTTAACATAAATATATTTGTTAATATATAAGTCTTTAAATAAATAATTTTTTCTTATGATATTTTTTTCCACAAAAACAAAGCGTTTATCTTACATATGGAAAGAAACAAAAATAAATTAAATTTAAAATATAATTAAAATTTAAAATATTTAAAATTTAAATAAATTTTCTAAACATCTAAGAAGTTAATTGTCTTTTATTTGTAAAACAATAATATAATGTACAGAACGAACGAAGACATATAATAAAGTAATGATGATAATTTTTTGTTTTAAGGTATATATTCTTCTCGTCAGATTTATTGAGTTCAAGGTAACGAAATGTTTCAACATAAATTATACCGTATTAAATACGGATGTCCGATTATTCAATATTATAATTGTTTTCAATATTATGATTTGCCAGCATTTAATAAATCATATCATATATTAATTATTGTTATAATTTATCTTTATTTAATATTTTTAAATATTTTATTATAAAATTATTAATTATTTTAATTTTTAATAATAATAATAATAATAATAATAATAATTTTAATATATATTACAATTTT